TATGACGATGATGATGATTCTGATGATGATGATGATGATGATGATGATGATGATGATGATGACGAGGAGGATGACGAGGAGGAGGAGGAGGAGGAGGAGGAGGAGGAGGAGGAGGAGGAGGCAGGAGGAGGACGATGAGGCAGGATGAGGAGGAAGAGCATGAGGGTGGACACAACAGAGGAGGAGAGGGATGAAAGTGGGAAAAGAGGCAGGGGGGGGAATAATATGATATCGGGGGCACGAGGTGACTGAGGAGGGTGTATCATATGAAGAAGAAGGGGAATAATAATAAGAAGAAGAAGAGGATGGGGAGGATGAGAAAGATAAGGAGGAGCAAGTGAAGATGAGGACGGCACAGGAAGAGTGAGGCACGGGGAGGCCGGGGAGTCCATGCCAGGCCCAGAATCCAGCCCCACAAGGCCCAAGAACTTCCAGGACGTGCGCCAACACGCATACTCCCCGACGCTTGCGAGTGAGTCTGTGTGTGTTGTGTGTTGTTGTTGTGTTAGTGTCGCGTTCAGAAACAGAGGTCTGGTGGAATCTGGGTGGTCTCCTGGCTTGGTCGCGGGAGGACTTCACCCGAATCCGCTGAAGCTCCCCCCCGCGTTCCTTCCCGCAGCGAACCATCCCGGGCCATCCCTCCCTCCATCTCGCAACCTCCCTGAATCGTCCCGAGCGATGCTCAAGCGAACGGGAGCCCCTTCCCTTTGATCCCTCCCCCGGGGGGGGGGGTGGGCGGGGGCGAGGCCTGGGAGGTCCGACTGGGGAGGGAGCCCCCCTCCCGACGACGATGCCGCCCCGAGCACCGACCGGGCCCACATAGCGCATGTGGCAGCAGCGCAGCACACACACGCCTCAAGAGACTCGGGATCGACGCGAGCCTAGAGGGGCACAAAGCACCGACCTGCCAGAGCACACCGCCGCTGTGACATGCCCTCGAGTGTCCGACTTGCCCAACAATAGACTGACGCGTGCGCGTGCAAGAAGACAACACGCCTCAAGAGCTCAGGATCGACCCGATCGACCCTGCGGCCCAACGGTGCCGAGCCCTGGCGAGCACCGCCCTGGAGGACGGACTGACCAGCCTCCGCCGGAGCCCCGGGCCCATCTTATACTGGGCCGGGCCAGAGGCAATGCGTTCAGCGGACATGCGTTGAGAGAGGGGTTCGCTCCTCGGCCCCCAGGCCGGCGCAGGAGGTCTGCAAGACGGCCCCCGAGACCCAAGACGACCCCCACGACCCCCACGAGGGCCCCGAGGGGCAACCATCACTAATTTCCCATAGACCTCACGGCTCCCGCCTGAAAGGAGCCCAGAGAGGGCCCCACGACGGCCCAAAAGGGTCCCAGGAAGGCCATCCCTGACCGGTCCACGAGAGCCCCAAGAGGGGCCCAAGCGGGGGAATACGAACTGCCATGTCGATCCCTCCGCTCCAGGATGACCTCGAGACCGCCCGCAGGCCTCGAAGAGGCCCTCAAGAGGCCACACGGCCCACGAGAGCCCCAAGAGGGGCCCCAAGCGGGGGAATACGAGCTGCCATGTCGATCCCTCCGCTCCAGGATGACCTCGAGACCGCCAGCAGGCCTCCAGGAGGCCCCCAAGGGGCCACAAGTGGCCGCCAAGAGGCCTCCAACAGGAGGGCTCCAAGAGGAGCTCCAGGATGCCATGATCATAGAATCCCCCTGTGCTTTTTGCACGGATGCTGGTGTTCTTACCTTTTCGGGCTTCCGAAGTTCCAAGACGACCCCACAGGCCCGCGAGATCGGCCCAAGACGGCCCAAGAGGCCCGCAAGAAGGTCCCAAAGGGCCCCAAAACGGCCCGAGAGGCCCGCAAGACGGCCCCATGACGGCCCCACAGAGCCCAAAGACGGTCCACGAGCCCCCAAAGAGGGACCCACGAGTGCCGAAACACGCCCCCAAGACGGCCTCCGAAGGCCAAGAGGCCAATTGGAGGCCCCCAGGGGCCTACAAGAGGCCCCAAAGAGGCTCCCTGAGGCCCCCACGAGGCCCCTCAGAGGCCTCCAAGAAGCTTCCAGAAGGACCTCCTTTCTCGTTCTCCTCCTCCTCCCTCTCCTCCTCCTCCTCTCCACCTCCTCGCCCTCCCTGCTTCTCCTCCTCCTCCTTCTGCTCCTCCTCCTGCTCATGCTCCTCCTGCTTCACCACCTCCTCCTCCTCCTCCTCCTCCTCCTCCTCCTCCTCCTCCTCCTCCCTCTCCTCCGCTCCTCCTCCCTCTCTCCCTCCTTTCTCGTCCTCCTCCTCGCTTCCAGAAAGGCCTTCTCCTCCCTCTCCCCCTCCTTTCTCGTTCTCTTCCGGATGCTTCCCCTTTAAGGGTCCCGCAGCGACCAGGGGAACACGCAGCCCGACGGCCTCGCCGAGCCCTGGCTCCACGCTTGGCCCCGTGCGCGCCTCCAAGAGGCAGGGAGCCGCGGAAGCTCGCCGCACGCAGGCGCCTTCGATATCTATAAAGGGGAGCAGGAGCTTCCACAAACAGACAAGCTCGGAGGTCCGCGCCGACCTCCGAGCTGTCGTGCTTCTGCCATGTTGTCGCTCCCCTAATTGAGAGGCGCCGCGGTGCTCTGCCTCTGGTCGAGGCTCGAGGCGCACTTCAGGCCCCGCTGGGGCACTCGTCGCCCTGCCTCCGTGCGCTCCCCGGCTCCTTCGCGGCCTCCCCGGGACCTCCTGATCCCCCTGGCCTCTCCCACCGCGAGGAATGAGGTGACGAGGAGGGAACCGAGTATGCGCAGGAATGAAGAGGGAGGGACCATGAGGGAGGGCGAGAGAGGGATGAGGGAGACAGGATGGGGAGAAATATGAGGACGGAGCAGGAGGGCGAGAGGAGGGCCAGGGGAAAGGAGGAGGAAGAGGAGGAGGAGGAGCCGAGGAGGAGGAGGAGGAGGAGGAGGAAGAGGAGGAGGAGGATGAGATGAAACGAGAGGAAGAACGAAGAATAGTAGGATAAGACGACGGAGTATTTGGGGTGCGCGAGGATTGGGGCGGTGTTCTGGGTTCCAGCAAGGCCAACTTAAAAGCATGCTTGCGCGTTTAAAGCCTTTGCGGGATGCGCCCCGCATGCTTGACCGGCTGCCTCGATGCTGATCGACCGATCGACGAAGCGTACTGTAGCTGGACCAGCGGGATGGTCGAGACGTCGTCGACACATCGAACTCCTCCAAGATCTTTGATATCTCGAGATCTGCAGCGCCTGATTCACATTCGTACACCAACGCGGTGCCGTACCGAAGAAAACGTGTCTCCAGGGTCCAGGCTCTGATCACGCAGCTGAGTGCCCTCCTTGCTGTTTCTCCTCCTCCTCCTCCTCCGCCCCACCATCATCATCATCATCATCATCATCATCATCATCATCATCATCATCATCATCATCATCATCATCATCATCATCAACATCATCTTCATCATCATCATCATCATCATCATCATCATCATCATCATCATCATCATCATCATCATCATCATCATCATCATCATCATCATCATCATCATCATCATCATCATCATCATCATCATCATCATCATCATCATCATCATCAGCATCAGCATCAGCATCAGCATCAGCATCAGCAGCATCAGCATCAGCTTGAGCATCAGCATCAGCATCAGCATCAGCATCAGCATCAGCATCAGCATCAGCATCACATCATCATCATCATCATCATCACCACCATCATTATCATCCTCCTCCCCCTCATCATCATCATCATCATCATCATCAGCAGCAGCAGCATCATCATACTTTTCCCCTTTCTTCTCTCTCCTCGACTCCCCCCGTCCTCTCCCAAACCCACCCCTCATCCTTCCTCCCCTCCCGCAGCATGTCGTGCGGTCAGAGCTCACGGTGCGCCCGGGCTCAAGGCTCTTCCACCTGGAGAGGGGGCGGGGGACGAGGGAGCCCAGTCCTGCGTTGGGGGGGAGCCGCTCTTCCTCAGGGGAGCGCCGCCGACGCGAGGGTGGAAAGGAGCGGAAGAAGGAGGGGCAACGGGGGACAGGAAGCGGGGAGGAAGGGTGCGGGCGGAGGTGGGGCAGGGGCAGGGCGAGGAGGAGGAGGAGGAGGAATTGGAGAGGGCGCAGCGGTGAGCCCCGGAGGACGACGAGGAGAAAGCGGAGGATGACGGGGAGGACGACGACGACGAGAAGGGCGAACTTTGAGACCGTCTGCAGCTGCACGAAGGAAAAGCCCGGGTCGGCAAGGGGCTCGCTGTCTGTTGGGTCCTTCCGTTGTTGTTCGTTCCTCTAACTAGCGCTCTTCGTGCACCGATGCCTCTAGCCCCCCCTAAGGCTTGGTTCCTTATCTAGCGTTCCCCATGGTATTAGCTTGACTGTACATTCTCTCGCTCTCCCCGACCTCGAGTGCAAAGTCCAGGATGCCCGTGCTCTTGAACTCCTTCTTAGCGTGCTCCTTGATGATCACCACCCGCTGGTCCGGGTTCGCCAGCGACTTGATCCTGTGGCCTATGCCCATAATGAGCTTGTTCTCCCTCTTCATCTTATCGACGAAGTCCTCTCTCCAGGCCAGGGATGCAGAGAGAGGGCTGGAGGGATGCAGAGGGATGCAGGAGGAGGAGGAGGAGGAGGAGGAGGAGGAGGAGGAGGAGGAGGAGGAGGAGGAAGGATAGAGGGCTCGGAGGGATTGGGCAGTGGCATAGAGAGGAGAGGGAGAGCAGGAGGAGGAGGAGCGAGGAGCATGAGGAGGCAGAGGAGGAGTAGGGATCGAGGAGGAGGATCAGGAGAGGAGGGAGGCAGCTGGAGTGCCAGGTCATTCGGAGGCGAGGTCAAGCAGCGGAGGGAAGGGAGAGACGGCGTCAAGGGGGGACGGGGAAAGGGAGGGAGCGGGGAGGGGAAGATAGCCGACACGAGCGGTCAGTCGGAGGACAGGAGGGGAGCGAGGAGGCGTAGTGCTGCACAGAAGGGAGCCACCGCGGTGCGCCCTGCTCTCGGCAGAGGCAAAAAGTTGGAGGCCTGGACGTGGGCACCAGCACCAACACAGGGGGTTGCCTCCACAGGGGGAAGAGGATCCTAGATTTCGGTCTCGGTGGTCATAGTTCGGCCACCGCCGATATTGGTGCTGGTGTCAACCTCTGGGCCTGCGAAAAAGGGGCGAACAGCCAGGTGCGGACACTGCACGCATTCGCCAAGGAGCCTCGTCGAAAACATCCCTGAGATCCGACGTTGCGAAACGTGCAACGTCGCAGAACATCACGACCTGGGCCCAGGGGCCCAGGGGCCCGAAGCCAGACGAACAAACGCCCAGCTTGAGACAAAGTGCAACACCTGGATCTCAGGGATGGACGATCGAATTCCCTGGATAGGTCGGGCGTGTCCCCCTACAGGCGGATTTTGGAGGATAGATATTCCAAACTAGCCAAGAGTTGTCAAAACATCGTCCCCAGACTATTTTTGGATTAATTTTGAGTATTCCTCCTGTAGAGGGACGCGCCAAACTTAAATGCAGTGCCCCCACCCCCCCGCGGGCGATCCGCCCCTGTCTAGAGGCCTCCCAGATGGGGTCGGAGCAACTGGGGTCGGAGGATCGCACCGCATCGGCGACGTCGGCGCGGAGCGAAGCGGGCTCCACATCGAGCCGCATCGGCGATGCATCGGCGAGGCGGCGCGATCCTCGGACCCCACCTGCTCGGACCACGTCTGGAAAGCCGAGATGTCGCCTCACCGTCCGCCGCGCTCGGCAGGGCGCAGAGCCGCAGGTCCGCCGCTGTGGCAGCGAGCAGCCCAGGGCGCGGTCGAGGTCGCGGCCGCGGTCGCGGTCGCGGTCGCGGTCGCGGTCGCGGTCGAGGTCGAGGTCGAGGTCGACGTCGAGGTCGTCGTCATCGCTGTCGATCATCGTCGTCGCCGTCGTCGTTGTCCTCGTCGTCGCCGTTGTCCTCGTCGTCGTCGTCGTCGACGTCGTCGTCGTCGACGTCGTCGTCGTCGTCGTCGTCGTCGACGTCGACGTCGTCGTCGTCGACGTCGTCGTCGTCGACGTCGTCGTCGTCGTGCTCCTCGGCGCGGCGGGGCGGGACGGCAGCGGGGCGCAGCCCGCCACCCCGCGCGCCGGCTCGCCCGCCGCCCTCGGCGGGGCACGGCCCCCGGGCCCGCGCGCTCCGGCAGCGAGCAGCCAGGCACGCGGCGCGACCGCTACCCTCCCCGAGATCCAACGTTTACCAGCCTCGAACGTATCCCTATCCCTAAGATTGTCACGCCAAAAGGCGATGACAATCTTAGGGGTTCGCCATCAAAAGATAAGGGAATCCCTAAGATTGACATCGTGATGAGGAGGTGCCCAGCATAGGGATAGGGATATGTTCCATGCTGGTAAAACGTACAGACGGACTTGATTGGAGAGGACACGCGAGAGGACACAAGATCCTTCCGAGGGCCACGTCGCCGTCGGAGTGCAAGAAAGCACGCGCCGCGCGGCACAGGACACAAGGGGGTACCCTTGAGCTGGCAGGGTCGACCTGCTGATCCGGGCCGCCTGCATTGCACAAGCCAAGACGGAAGTTTTTCGCAGCTGTCGGCCTCTGGCGGCCCTCGCCGGGCCCCAGGACCGTCAAAGAACGACTCAGGATGCAGAGCTGGTCCTGGGGAACGGGTCGAGGCTTCCACGGAGGAGGAGGAGGAGGAGGAGGAGGAGGAGGAGGAGGAGGAGGAGGAGGAGGAGG